CACTTGTTCCATTTGCCACTGCCCTTACTGCGAAATTATTTCCAAACTTCTTTATAATGCCAAAATTTCCCTGAAAAAATGTTTGCAGTATAACAAGGTTTTATTGTGTATTGTACCAGTACCTCCTGTAATACATTGTTTCTATGACATCGATGTAAAATTATTATAGGCTATACCTGGGCTAACCCCTAGTCCACACTGACCTGTCGTCCAAGCCCTACGTAAGCCTGTATGCTTTAACAGTTCCCCAGAAATGTCTGCCACACGAAAGCCACAGATTCTCCCAGACAAATTATAAAGATAAAAGGCACAATCTAAAAGTACAGTATCAAAGGTTTGAATTAAAATTCCTTTAAAAGACTTGATGATAGCTTAAAGATTTTACGTAAATCTCAATAAAAGGCTGTGATAAATTTCGCTGCAAAAACAAGCCAGGTAAAAATATCCCAGGCTATCGGCTATACTCCCCAGAAAATACAGACCCCAGCCCATTAAATTGCACTTTTTAACCTAATGTAGGTATATGAAAAATTCTTCGTTTGTTGTGGGTTAAACAAAGCCTCCTTTCGTTTTCATTTACCTTGGGTTTAAGGCTAACCCTGTCTGCGATATAAACTACACGCCACGGCTACACTGAACCTTGGTCTAATCGAGGTGTAGAGAATTTAATAAATACATCTTATTAAATACTCTGGAGGATCTAAATGTTTGTTTTTATCCAAGATCTTTGTCAACAGAAGATTTTTCTCCTTTGAAGACAGAATCCTGATAAATCTACCTATAATGGCTGTAAAACGTAAATATGGAAGTGGTCCTTATCACACGTTGTCCACAGCGAAGTGCTACGGTAAACGCCAACAACTTTTACAACAATAAAATCAACAATAAATCAAACAGCTAGTAGACTTCATCCAAATCGTTCTGCTACTGCACATCCAAATCAAATCGGAAATCAAAATCACTGATTCTTCAAATTTTTATACAAATGTTACAAGAACTTTTAAGAAAAGGAAAATAATGCAAAATTTCGTAATAATATTTAATAAGTCAGACTATGCTACTTTTGCCTTTTGTTCAATAACCTAGCTAGTTAATCATACAAAATTTAGATAATACTGTACACTGGGATATTTTATCCTCAGTTTAATTTTTGCCTTTTTCGCATTTCATAATCATGATAAATTTATCATTATGGCAAATATCCATTAACAACAAGCAAATTCGTGGAATTTATATCCCCCGCTTGCAGGACATATTGTAGGTAAACATTAAACATTATTGAGGTTAGGTTTAAACATGTGAGCATCATGCTTTTGAGACATAATGTATAGCTTGAAACTTGAAGAAGAAAACAAAGCCCGATACAGAAGTTAGACTTTTTATTGAACATGTAGGTATTACGGTGTAAATTGATCGTTTAATCCATCAGAATTTATTAACCTCATTAATTAGCCGTAAATATGCACAAATGACATTGGTTGACAAACTTAACATGAGTATGATGTGCATACAGAATTTGGTTCAAATATCTACACACTATCTGCAGCAAATATCATACGAAAATCAAAGAGTGCCCGAGATGGGTGGAAAGACAGAGGAACACAAACATTGTTATCAAGTTTGAAGGAATTTGGCTAATATTTGCTAGAGTTATTAAGCGGAATCTGCAGATAATGAGATTTTTCGATCATCAAGGGGCCATAACTCTGCCAAGTGGAGTCCGATTAAAGTGGTTGTCAAACTCAGACGAGCCCTTAATGCGTTGAACCCTGTTACTAATTTTGAATACAATCGGATAATATTTGCAAGAGTTAAATTTAACAGAAATGGCAGATAATGACGTTTTTTGTTATTCCAGGAGACACAACTCTGCCAAAGCAAGTCTGCTGAAAGTGGTCATTAAACTTGGCCGAGATCTTATGGCATTTAACCCTGCTACAAAGTTTACAGAAAATCGGTTAACATTTGTTGCAGTTATTGCACGGAAACGAAGCGTGACAGACAGACAGACAGACAGACGGTCAAACCCAAATTAATATCCCCGTTTCCATAATAAAACAGTGATGGTATTAAGAAAGGATGTCTGGAAACACAGGGGTCAGATTAGACAAGATTTCCTGTATATTGATAACATGCGATTACAAGTTTAGGCGATCAATATAAATCTATATCTTTAAAGAAAAAGGATGTTACGGTGATCGATTTTCGTACATACACACCATGAGTATTGCATAGCACTTTCACCACCCTGGAATGCACAATACATACATCAAAACACGGATCAGTTTCCCACCTACTTCATATTACCTTGTCCGTCCTTTTTATACCAACTAGATTAAAATGTGACTTGTGGGGGAATAGAGTCACATGATCTACGATTTATTTACCTTTCTAGTGTAAGTGTTATAAAGCTTCCCCACAGTCATGGTGATGGTACGCATGCTATAGTTGAACATTCTTGCAAAACAATTTCAATGGAGCTCCATCGTTTAGTTTATATATTTGAACATTCGTCTTGATTTCGTTGTATAATAATAGCCCAATTCAGCCCTTCATAAATTAACATCATTGCTTTGCACTCCAGTGCATTGAAATTCCACGGGTTGTACTCAATAAGGAGTCATCGTAACTCAGATTAGAATAGAAAACTCTCCGACTTAGGTAAGAGACAGACAACCACTTCTCAAACTGTGAATGCACTTGCTGCGGGGGTCTGTTGATTTAAGCTGCTGTCTAGATTATAGTACATACACGGACGGATTTTCGCAGCAATTCAAATTACCTATTGCAGTTTATTTATATCCATAAAACTTACACTAGTCAAGAGAATCTTTTTAAAGTGAAAGTGAAAACTCATTAATGATTCTGACCACCATATAACTATTAAGAAATATGCACACACCCTTCTTGGTCTGGAGATAAACTTCATTACTTAGAATTGGCTTGCTGCACCCATTGTAACAGACATCTAAGGCGAGATAACCGCCGATATACAGTCTATGATAAATATGGAACAGCTCTGCTACATTAATTGTATGACCCAAGAACCAGTAAGAAGTAGCACAGATTCAACTTCTGCAAATACGTTATATTCTGCACAAAATTAATTTCACAAACTGACGTTTCTGTATTTTTTGGCAGTTAGATAATATCATATTTTGGTAAACATAAACCTGTTATGTTAATTACATTAAAAAAATTGTAAGCATTAATATCTGAAAATTCAAAAATAATGGGTCAGCATGATCCCACCGTAGGCAAAACACTAGAATGATGTTGTAGATTTTCATATACACAGTTACCTCCCCTTTATTTTGTTATGACTGTAACGGGGCCAGCCAGGGTACTACTGTTGATCACGTAGCTCAGCTGGTTAAAGCAACAGGATAATAATCGGAAGTCCTGGCAGGTTCGAATCCTGGTCCGTCCCCGTTGCATTATCTTACATTCCAAACACTGCAGTTGATTCTTTCACTGCTTATTTCATCTTTATTATATACTTTCATGAAAGTTCCACAACCTATGGTTTTCTTTTCAGCAAGGATTTATCTAAGCTGCAGTAATGCATGAAAAAAGTGTTAAAAGTAAATAGTTATAGGTTTTGGAAATGGTATGGAGATCCTTGAGACAAATTTACGGTAAATATTCATCACCGAAAATATTAGAACATTTTATTTCTAGTGTGCAGTATTATTTGAAAACCAGGAATTTACAATCTATTACATAAAAAGACACTCCTGAACCAATTGTATGTCTTTATTGGTAACAGTTATATGAGATCTGGGATATATATAAATACTACAATGTACGTTGAAATAAATTACGATTTCTCCTAATCTTGGTAGGACCCTTGCAGTGTAATAACATAATCACGTTGATATTTGACCAGAGGACATTGGTTTTAATCTGTCCTTGCCCTTGTGTGATATAATCCTTTATCAGAGCAGGGCTGAAATGAACACTGCCCGTTATCTGACTGCATCAGAGTGGTTTCCCTTGTCTTCCCCAATTTGAAGGAGGTGTGAAGACTTAAGTATAACTGATACTGATAATAAAAATCTGACACACCATCAACACTAGTTATTCAAATTCGTGATTATCACAAAAAAAAGAAGGTTATTTTTTACTTTTTGTTATTTTATGACTTTATACAATTTTATGACTTTTTGCAAACACAAACTCTCATGCCAAAGTTAAAGCTGAATTTCCATTTCTTGTTCAAAAATAGACCCAATATAGCTTTTACCCATTTCTAATCTGTGGAACTGTCTGCCAGTATAACAGGAAGTTGTATAGAAAACCAAAGTGAATTTTCAAACATGCAATTCAAATAAAGTCAGATATTGTAACACAATAAGTTTTGTCATATATTCCTGAAGTTTCACTCAACATTTATTATGTAACGAAACAAAATCTTAAACCCAAAATCACGGGGAAAAGAAAAAAAAACAACACAATTATGTTATAGATACAAGATTAAACCTTTATTCAACAATTACTCATTAGCATATTAGTTGAGATAGTTGAAATTCCCGACGGTGCCGACCTGTCGTTACAATCTAGATTACATCTATACTTGTATAGCGCAGCACACATAGATGTGGGCAGATCCAACGTCAACATGGATTCTTGTGTTTGTTTTATCACCGCCCAACATGGAGCGTGTAAACTTCAAAACATGGCAAATTAAACTTCCTGTGTACGCTGACATCAAAATTTTTGCAGTTATTGACAAACAATTGATAAGTGACCGCAGTCATTAGGTGTGTCCAGATGACACAGACGTAATAACACATTTAGTGACCGGCGGGGTCCATCTCCCGTGTGTATTGTGTATCATACGAAATAAACAAATAGGCTAGAGATCAGTGGGTCCTGTGATCAATAATGGCTACACAGGGCCTGATAATACACTATGAAACAAAGACAAACGGGTCCAGACACGTTATTTTCCAACAATGTGATTCGTTGGTACACCTGATAGTGGGGATGGACCTATATCCATTCACTAAATATCAATATCAAGTGAGACGTTTAAATTTTCCTTATGGATAATCTACAAAATCTACACAAAGTTATCAGCGGACAGCAGGTGAACTCTCTAAGAAAGGAACAATTTTACATCTAATGGACAATGTGGCCAAGATTGAAACATTTTCTAACTGTATATAAACACTGGCAGAGTCCATCCCAGCTCTAAAAGATGTAACTTACATACCTACAACCATCTTCGTTAAGCACAGGTAGGTGACATACAATACATTTATAAATAGAACCAGGTAAACATTTTACCTGTAATTTTTCGATCTCAGACTGTTGGGGAACAGTTCAGTTTGAAAACATATTACGCACATACACACATAGGTAAGTCGATGACCTGACTAGGAGCAGTGGGTATGCATAATATTATCTGACCAACAAAGGCTAAACTTACATACTGTCTACATGGGTACATCATAGCTGGTCTACTTATGATTCGGCCGCCGACTCATTATATAGGTGGGATTTAAATCAAATTTGGCTCCTAAATCAGCTGGTCTTCTATATTTAAGATTAGTAAAAGTGAACTATCAGCACTTTACACCATTGCAGATTATCCCTCACATGGAACGTGACAAAGAGGTATCTTGATGTGTTATTGAATCACAAAGTTCTCTTCACAATTTCTCTTAATAAACATGTATTTATTTTCAAAACAAAGTTTTCAACTCCATATTTCTATTTAAATTGTTTTTAAAATATATTTTTCATAAACAAATTCTGACAACTCGAAGTGTCCAGTAAACATATATTCTCCATACTTTTCATAATATAAAAAGGCTGGGCTTGACTCCTTATCAAAACAAATAAACACCTTCAGAACACCTCTAGAGTTTTCGTTTGTTGGTTGTACTGACAAAAGTTCAAAATTAATTCTGTTAATTCTAATAATAACCCATGCTTTCATTAAAATTGAAGTAGCACTGCAAAGGAGATACAGCTATCTTTTATATAGCTGTTTATAATATAATATAGAACAATGTTCCATTTTCTGTCTTGAAAACAAATGATACACCTTAATCAAAACCTTATTGGAGAATTTTTTCTTCAGAATCTTTTATCATGGAAAACTTCAAAATATTTTGCATCAAAACATGTACATTCTTCAGAATATTTGCCAAGACAGCATTTTTCAGAATCATAAACACCTTCTTTAAAACTTTTATCATAAAGACTTTTTTTAATGAATATTGTTTTCAATGTTCGGTGTCACAATATTTTAAGTGAGTTTTAATTAGTTGAGTCTGAGGAGCACAGAATCCATACTAGAGCATGAGAACGGTTTATGAATAAGCGCCTGGACCTTTTCACAAATGTACATGTTCCTAGTAGAACATTCAAACGCAGTCAGTCCTGCATTTAGTCATGGGCTCACGCAAATTCAAGCACGATTTTAAAAGTACACAAGTAGAAAGGGGAGATAACTATTTGGCATTTTTTAGTAATTAACGCCTTCTAATCTCTTTTGAGTCGGTAGTTCCTTGAGGCGAACAAATTATCCGTCAAAGTTTCAAAGTCAAGTACTGGTATTATACAAGTATTTTAATCTACAAGCTATAGTCAACATTCCAAACATATTAAAGACTTATAAAAAAAAAAATGCAAAAAATGTGAATACAATGACAAAAAATGTTGATCTCCCAGATCAGATTTGGAGGTGTTAAAATTTTTTAATAATTGTGATTACATAGTCATAAATATTACTTATAACATAGGCTTAAGGTGTTAATCATGCAATTCTCAGTCAATATTGTACACAGTAAATTTATTTAATCCAGATCGATTTTAATTTATAAATAAATAATTAAACGTTGAATTTATATTTGGAATTTGACCTGCCCTACAGCACATTACAATGGGATTCAAATTTCTTTTTTCTATGAATATTTCAAATTGAAAGACTTTTCTTACAACCTGTGTTTAACATGCCCGAGTTCTTTTACAATACCCTAGCTATGCAAGGCATGTCGACAGACAAGAAAATGGATCAGTACCAAGCGTAAAAAGCCAAAAATGAACATACGGCCTTAGCCAACATGTTGACTTAGCATTTATATTCAATTGGAATGTAGCTGTGTTTGCTTTCTGTATTATCTAGATTTGGAAATACACAAGCATGAGTTTGGATATATATACTGGGCTGAAATATTAATACAAATCATGAGGTTTCAGGATTGATGTTACATAATGTGAAGATCTATATACACAAAAGCATACGTGGCCTTGGAATAAACCATTTTACACTTGACCAAAATAGAATCCCTGTTTATTTCCACTTTGCTCACTGCCAACAATTTTAAGGTCCCGTTTTTTTTAGTAATTGATTCTTTTTTATATTCCCTTCAATAAATTGACAACCCCTTTATAATGCCAAAATTTCACTATATTGAGATGGCAGTATAACAAACCTTTATTGGAATTATTTTGTAATATGCCTGGTTATATATTTTGTCATTATTTTACAATACCCAGTATTTGACCAGTATTATTTCGACTGATAAAAGTAGGTTGGCGGTTAACAATAGTCAAAATAAAATCTCATATTAAAAAAAAAAATCATTTAAAGAAAGTTACTTCTATTTCTTGAAAAGAAAAACAAATTCAAAACTTAAATTTGTTTACAAATGAAAAAGAAGGTTCTGCAGTTAACATAATCGGACGTGACAATACTAACCTGAACCATCACACCAGTTAAAAGTTAGCGGTATGAAATGTTATTTTGAGGTTAAGAAAATGTGTGGCGTCGGAACTTGATATGCAGGAGAACAAATGGGTGTAGTATCGATCAAATTCACCACAAATACACAACACTTTTGGTAAAAAAAAACTTTCGAAGGATTTTTTTTTACAATCATTAATCTATGCTTGCTTGCTTGTTTGGTTATTCCAAAATCTTCCCATAGTGTTATATATAGAAAGCTTGTACTAAACAATTGTCACACTAGGTTCTGCACTGTAAGTTTTCATCTCTTGTGAGATTTCAATTTAATCATATCATTTATCAAACCTTAAATCTCCCCCTTTTCATGTTGATGAGATTTTCGATCTTGTACCTAGCTTACGTTGTGAGCACCTTACAGATTAATCTGTTACATAGCATGTACACTATCAATTTGTTTTTGAGCAGTTTTCCTTGGCCAGCCGCAAATCGAGCTAATCTGTCGAAAATCCCGTCACAATAGCACTTGGCCCGGTAATCACCGTTCACATAAACACACCATTGTGCTGTGCCACTTTCCAACACTTACCCACACTCATTGATAATTACAACCAAAGAATTTAAATGGTTTTGTTTAAATCGTGTGAAAGAAACCATACTTATTGGAAGTCAAGTCGAGCTTAGGATCACTGTAAGTGTGGAAGGCCCAAGCGTTTCTTATATATACCTATCAATATGACCCCGACATAAACTCTAGCATTGAAATAATGTCCGAGTCAGCAAAGTGGGGATTCCCTGATATATATACCATTAAAATTAAAGGCAAAGTCATTTAAGTAAGGATATCATTCAAGTCAGCCAAATCAGGATACCCAAATATATTCTGTATGACTGGAAATTTTACGCTGCAGTAAATTGTCGCCTTTTTCCCATTTACTATTAAATTGATGTCCGCAGACTCATTAAAGTAAGGATATATCCCAAGATAAATTTATCATTACAGCGAATGTAAGTTAACAGTATAATATAAATAGCAGTTAAATGTAAAGGGCGAAATTAACACTTGGCAAAACTTGGTTTCATTGGTGAAGGGCGAAATTTTGACTGTGCTAAAATTTCCCATTTACCATTAAATTAATGTCCAGGCTCATTAAAGTAAGGATACTACGTATAATATCTATATCATTTAAGTCTGTGAAGTGGGGATATCCAATACCGTCCAACCTGTTCTTTCAAAAGACCACCAGTGTGTAAAAACACCATTTCTAATGTTCCTCATTGTTGTAATGTCACTGTGAACTGAACCGGTATTAATAGACCACTTGTACATGAGAGACCAAGGGTGATTAGTCCCTTAATACACCTTATCGTTTTATATATAGTCACCATTGAATTCATGCAAAATTTGGCAAAACAGGAATATCACTCCAATACCATGCAACATAAGAATGTATTCAAGTCAGCAAAGTGGGTACCCAGATATGTATACAATTTAATAACAAGCAGACTAGGCTAAACATCTGACACTTTGCCATGAAATTAGTATATCCAGTAAAGTCATGGAAGATTAAACTATGATCAGCAAGGAGGGTACATTCTAACCCCAATATGTATACACTTAAATTAATATCCAAGTCAGCAAAGTAGTCAATGGGGAGACCTCTGGCAGTATTTGTTATGCAGAAATTATTTCTCATACCACCGATGTCTGACATAACCCGTTGATGTACAGCCATCCTAGTTAGGCAGTAAAACTTGAGGGTATTTGACACTGAAGGGGTGGGAAGAAACTTTACAATACTGTTTATATTCTACACATGAAAGAGGAACATAATTGATACCAGTCATCATATGAATTTACACAAATATCAAGACTCCACTTGTTCTGTCGGGAGAAAATTTAAACACCAGTTCAGCAGTAGAAGTGTGCATGTGTATTGCCTTTCAAGACAAATACCGTGATATATGCAGTTAAGCTTCAATAATCCAGCCACTAAATGAGAGACAGAGTTGTGACTTCAATAAATCTGCCACCCTAGCCACTAAATCAGAGGAACAATTGTGGCTTCAATAATTCCGCAATCCTAGCCCTAGCCACTGTTGCGACTTCAATAATTCTTCCACCCTAACCACTAAATTAGAGGCAGAGTTGTGGCTTCAATAAACTGCCACCCTATAGCCACTAAATTAGAGGCAAATTTGAGGCTTCAATAATCTGCCACTTCATAGCCACTAAATTAGAGGCAAACTGTGTTTTAAATAATTAGTAGCAGGATTTCTATTTTAATAATTTTGCCATATTCATCCTCGTAAAATCAGTGGCAGGATTATAATGTGACTTCAATAATTCCGCCATTATAATCCTATAATCCCAGCAAATAAATGGCAGTTGGCCTTGTATTAATGGGACAATTTTACACAGAAAAAGCCAATCTTGTCCCATAAAACACTGGCAATGCAGATAATGGCGGGATGACCAGATTAGCATGTTCACCCCTAACATTTTAACCTTACCAAAAACAAAGACTGCAGGTCTATTTAAAA